CTCATTTCCACTTTATTATCGCTTTCTGGCCCATATGTGATAATGTCCCTAGGCAGGAATACTCAGAGGTGGTTTTGCCAGTTCCTTTCTCTGAAATATAGCCCACAGTACCTGGTATTCCTCAGTGGTCTCCCATCCAAGTATTAATTAGCCCCGACCCTACTTAGCTTCCAAGATCAGATAGAATCTGGTGCCTTTAAAGTACTTAGGAAAGAACTGAAAAAAATCATCTCTGAATATTCCTTACCTAGCAAAACACAGTGAAATTAATGGAGTCAGCATAAGTCAACAGGTGACTTGAAGGCAAATACAGAGAAAGAGAGAAAGAGAAAGAGACTTCTGAAACAGCTCCATTACTCAAAGTCAAGAGCCTGAATATGAATTTGCCTTGTTTTCTTTTCTTTCTTTCTTTCTTTTTTTTTGCCAGATGTGTTTGGAGGGTAACTTGGGTCCTGTCTTTTGGAGGCCAGCAGCCACCTCGGGTCCCATTCAGAAAGGTGACATATTAAATAAATAAATAAATAAATAAATAAATAAATAAATGGTAAGCATCTTTTCAGTCTGCTTGAAGTAAGGATGAGATTAATTTTGAAATGCATTTCATTAGCATCATACTCATGGGAATATTTTGGAAATTACAACAGGTGTATAGACAGGCAGGTTTCAAGAAATGGGGAAAAACAAAAGAAACATGACAAACTTTAGGTATGGCGAGAAAGGGTACAGAAAAGTGTGTGCAAATAAAATGTCTAACAACTGGCTCTTAGTAACATTAACTATTTTTTTAACTTTGGTTACCCTGATGTCAGGAGAAGGAAATGGTGTAACCTTTCTATTCTGCTGAGAACAACAAAAGCAATAATTCAAACTTAGGATATTTTCTTTTATTTTACTGCCAGTGCTTTTGGCTTTAAGAATTTAATTGATTTCTATTGTTACTGCTATATGTTCTTCATACAAGCCTCTTTGATAGTCTCAGACTACAAAGTGGCCACTGAAATATTTGTTTGCTACTGTTGTTGTTAACTGCCCCCGTTGATCCTGACTTATGGAGACCATGTGGATAAGACATCTCTAGGACTTCCTATCATCCACTGTTCTGCTTAAGTCCTGTAAATTCATACCTGTGACCTCTTTAATAGAGTCTATCCATCTAGCATGCAGTCTTTCTCTTTTTCTACATCCCTCCACCTTTCCTAGCATTATTGTCTTTTCCAATGAGTCATGGCTTCTCATGATGTGGCCAGAGTATGACAGCCTCAATTTAGTCATCATGGCTTCCAGGAAGATGACCAAATTGTCTTTGTCTTTTTGGCTGCTTCTGGTATCCTCAGCACTCTTCTCCAGACTGAATCTCCAATGATTTGATTTTCTTCTTATTCACTTTCTTAATTGTCCAGCTCCTGCATCCGTACATGGTAAAAGGGAATACAGTGGTACCTCTACTTACGAAATTAATCCGTTCCACAGCCC